GAGCGTGGCGCCTGCGCAGTAAGGCTGCAGATGGCGTGGAGGGCGCCCGGGCAGGCAGTGCATGCGCAGAGAGGAACTTGCTGTGCCTGCAGTGCAGCGGGCAGAAGCCGGGTTACCCGCGCATGCGCAGGGGTTGTACTCCAGCCCTTGCCCTGTGCTGCAGCTGACCGGTGGCTCCAGGAGCTGTGTGGGGCTCCGCCTTGCACTGCCAGGCTTGCTCTCTAGTGAAAGAAGCTACAAGTGCGGCAGGATGTCAGTGAGAATGTAAATAGGTGGAAATTACGTTCTCTCTTGGGCTGAAGGGGAGTCCCCCGCTCAGCCTAGCAGGTGCACAGGGCTCTGGGCCTTGGCGCTGATGAGTGAAAAATTGCCATTTCCTAGGTCAGATCATAGGTCCCTCTGGCCCGGTCACACGAGGGCAGGGAGCGGATGCTGAAAGGGAGAGTGAACCGGGTCTGACTTTAGACCAACTGAATAGTTGGGGAAAAGTTCTTTGCAAGTGTTCGGGTGCAGTCGCCCTTCTTCAGGCCGAGGGAGACTGCTGGTCTGAGATGTCCAAGGAGTGAAAGAAGCTAAAAGTGTGATGGGATGTCAGTACGAGATTGCAAATAGGTGGGAATTACAATCTTAATGACATCCTGTTACACTTTTAGATCACTCCTTGGAGATCTCAGACCAGCAGAGACACCCCCCCCCCCGTGCCTGAAGAAGGGGGTTTGTGCCCAAAAGTTTGCAAAGATCTTTCCAACTACTCAGCTGGTCTAACGAGATATCACATCCACCCAAAGAAGCTTGTCTGCCTGCGTCCTTAGACCAACACGGCTACAGCCAAAAACCCTGGGTGTAACTTGGGGTGTTTTGCCCTGTTCCTCTCACTCGAGGCCTCCCTTCACCAAAGGTAATGATGATAATAATTGGATGATGGGGGGAAAAATACCATCTTTGGGCCCCCTTTCTGTCTGGGTCCCAGGCAGCAGCTCAGTTCGCCCATGCCTGTGTCCGGTTCTGCCCACACGTGGCTGCTGGGATACAGTTGGCATGCAGGGCACATCTGTGCTTTACCAGAGGGATGATTGCAGCAGGTGTTGAAGGCAGGGCAGAATTGCACCTTATTGACTAACTATATCAGAGGTACATCAGTTTTTGTAAGCAGCAGCTGACTTCACCTGGCAGTTGAGCAGGTGTAGTCATACCAGCCCTAGTATTAGCTAGCAGGGAGAAGAATACCTGTGAAATACTGCGTTGTGCACTTCAGGATCACTATCTTACTGAGGATCTACTGTAGCCGCTAATGCTTGCTGAAGTGCCTGCTGATATGCCTTGCTTATTGCTATCCAAGCTAGGTGGGTGAGAGCTAGCTCAGCTACATCAAAATGTGCTGCTGTCACATCTCTACTACAGTGTGGACCTAGGTACAGACTTGCCAAGACAGACACAACTTTGTCCATCCATATATTTGTGCGCACACACATGGATACTCGGACACAGCTTGCCATATGGCACATGCTCCCTGCCCCCCATGGGTTCATTCATGGAAATGAAAGCTTGATAGCAAGGTACAGAATAGCATGGCATGAGCATCCCCTGCCTAGTCCTGCTAATATATTTCTGTATGTACCTGCAGCATCTCCCACTATTCTAGTCCTGGCTGCTTTACTAGTTCAGCTGTGCAGGACCACAGCTGTGCTAACACATCTCCACACTTTAGACGAGATGTTGACAAAGGAGAAGGTTCAGAGAAGCCCTACAAGAATGAGCCAAGGTCTGCAAGGCAGACCTCACAGCAAGAGACTTAAAGGCTGCATCCAGATGAGTGCGGACATTTGGTTGCCCAGGGACAAGGAGCAGCAGCAGGACACCTTGTGCCACTGCTAGCTGTCCCTGGGGAACACTACGTGCCCTCTAGCACACAGCATGGCAGGTTACCTTGGGTGGGGTTGGGGAGGCTGGGGCCAGCAACTATGCCGGCCCCAGCAGCCTTATCTGGGGGCTGGGGAAGCTGTAGCCATGTTGCTCTTGCAGCTCGGAGCCTGGCCAGCAGCTGAAGTGTGACTCTGACCAGCCAGGCTCTGGTTTTGGGTGGCACATGTTGTCAATGTGCTATCCTGCTTTTTTTCTGCATGGGCTTTTTTGAGCCTTGGATTTCCAGGGGTCAAACCCCCGCACCCCTGCTCTGCAAAGTAACAGCACGGAAAACTCTCAAATGTGTGGTGTGTGTACCACATACCATACGGCTGCACTCATCTGGACATGGCCAAGGAGATCAAGTGATGTCGTAGCCACAATGGTCCTGGAAACACGAGAAGCAAGAGTGTTCATGGGTGACATGTTTTATTGAACCAACTGCATGGTTGGGATAGACCAGTGGTTCTCAGTCTTTTCAGACTCAAGGCCCCCTCACTGAACTCCAGGCACACCTTGGAAAATGTCAGCTCTAAGTTTTCGATCCTTTTTTTGACCACAGAAAGATACTGGAGCCATTCTTCTGTTGCAAAGGACTCAGAAAGAGCACAACAGATCAGAATGTTTTTACCACTATGGATTCCTAATGAAATCTCTGGGTTTATCTTGTGAATCAAGTTTGCACACCTAACAGTACTAACATTGCGTGGTGCCCTGTGGCACCCTTGATAGGATCTCAAGGCACCCCAGGGTGCCGTGGCACCCTGGTTGAGAATGATTGGGATGAAATTAGATAACTTTTCAAATGTAGTGCATTCTTCTTCAGGAGCTCTACCTACTTTGCTGATCAAAGAGAAGGCTAAGTGTGAATTTGCTCACCATCTATAATTATCATAGTGCAGATAAAGACTATCTGAGGCTAGAAGGTTCTTCTATTTAGCAAATAAAGACATAGCAGGATTCAATTTCCGCAAGCTGAAGCCAGGCAAATTTAAATTGGAAATAAGGTACAAACACCACAAGTAATTAACAGTGAGCATAATTAATTGCCAGAACAGCTTCCCAACTGACAGAGGGTAGATTCTCTGCCACTTGATGTCTTTAAATCAAGACCAGATGTCTTTCCAACATATGTGCTCTAGTTCACCCACATATTAAAGTGTTCGATGCAGGAATCGCTGGGTGAAATTGTATGGCTTGAGCTAGCAGGAGGTCAGACCTGATCCTTAAGTTCCTTCTGTTCTTGGCATTTATATGAGTATTGATATCTGAGGCATCTCCACAGCTAGACAGGTTTTCTCTTGAACTTTCACAAGATTTCATACTTTCCATCTACCCTCCTGTCCTGCAGTAGTGTACTGAGGAGGGGCAACTGGGGCAGCAGCCGGAGGAACTGGCTTTGTTGGAGGGGGACACAAAAATACGCACTACTGTCTCGGCGCTGTGGCAGTGGGCACTGCCCCATGCACTGCAGCTTCCTGGAGTACGGAGCTGCCCTGTTATGCTTCTGCTGTCACAGCGGCTTTTTGAAATCAGTGTTCCTCCTTGTAACCCAGAGTTGTTTGCTGGAAACCTGGGATGGTGCAGAGGATGCAAACTGCATTTGTCTGCCCTCTTTACCTGATAGCTCCTCACAGCAGGAAATCAGAGCTTCACTGGAGACTCCCTGCTGCTTTCAATATGGACAACTAAGAAGTGAGCAAGTGGAAGAGGCAAGACATGGCATTGAGGTAATACGTTCTTCCTGAAAACAGATGCATAGGACATGAAGACCAGAGGTTTCGGGAGAAAGTGTGGCTTGGTTGGATGACAGGAAGGTAAGGTGTGCAGGAAAGAGCAAAGGGTAAGCACCTGAAAGACATAGAGAGAGAGGTAACAGCTCTGGCGCACCAGCGCTTTCTTTTTAACTTGTTGCTACTCCTCCAGTTAACTGTTCCCCCAATCCCATCATGGTGGGTTCAAGCAGACTGCGGCAGGACAACAGCTTTTGGAGGGAGTCCATGAAGCCTATTGCTGTGTTGGCAGTGGGGGGTTGGCCAGGACATTCACAGCTCACTGGGCTCCTTCCAAAACACCCAACCATACAAATCAGCCCGGCCAGCAGTTTTCCCAAGGCTGTCACGAGGCAGGAGTGAAGCAGTCAGCACTACTCAGTGTCTGCTCTGCAGTGGACTGCCAGGTACAGGCATGATGAGTTGTATACGCATGAGTCAGGCTTAGCAGAAAGCGGAGCGTCAGATGAGCAGTGTGGGGCGAGAATGCTTTCAAGGAGAACCTAGAAACAAGACAGGCCATTTCTCTTTGCTTGGATCAGACCCCCTGCACCTCCCAGAGCTCTCATCTGCTGTTCTTCCAGCATCTGCCTGACATTAGAAGGATCTGAAGGTCAGTGAGCAGCTCTGGAGGGGAAGCTGTTGCAGCTGCCTGAACTGACTCTTCACAGAGGCTTCTGGTAGCATATGTGGTTCACGTGCCCTACGGAAGTGCAGGGCTGGGATAGACAATGCCTCCGCGCTGAGCAGCAAGGGGACTTGGTAGGAAAGCATAGAGAAGTGTTAGCTCCACCAGGACGTCCAGGCAGAAGGAGCTGCAGGGGAGAGCAAGTAAGGGCACATCTGAGCTCCTACCTCTTCTTGTGCCCTTTATAGTCTAAGGTCCCTAGTATCCACTCCATCTGAGGCCACCCATGGCCTCGCTGCCAACTCAGCCCACTTACACGTGAAGGCAGCTCCCACATTACCTTAGCTCCTGGGAAGGAATCAGTTGCATATAAAACCCCCAGAAAGTCCCTGCAATAAGAGAAGCACTTGGACAAAGAGCATTTCCTTTCCTTTACTCTGCTTTGCCAAGTGCTCCTTTCCCTCACCCCTTGCTAGTGGTTGAGGCAACTCCTAAACCCAGGCACGCTGGATGCAGCTTTCCTGTCTATTCACCAGCTGACAAGGGGAATAATATTTGATTACCTTCAGATTCAAAACAGCCGTCACAAAACAGAAACCCAG